TGCTGGCCCAATCTTTCTTCCTCTGAAGAAAATAAAGAGTTGGAAATACAATCCAATTAAAGGTAGTGTCCTCCTACAACAAAGTAAGCAACGTTGCCTAAGCAAAAATTAGTTATTCCCAGAATAAATCAGAATACCTTAAGCAGCTACAGAAAAATACAAATTAGAAGAGCTATCTTATTCCTATTCTCTAGCTAGAAAATGCTGGCTAAGCTACACAATAGTCCCTTATTTTTGAAATCAGAATGTCCTCCTAACTAAATTACTTTAAGATTCTTTTGTAAGATAGGAGTCTGATCTAGAAACAAACTTCAGTCTTCAAAAAGAATGAAGGTTTCCCAAAGAAGCAATGTCATAAATGATGGCTGGTTTTGCCTGTGTAATTATTTTAATACCTTTTTTTAAGGGTTACTCTTCTCTGTCACTTCTTAAAACAATGCCACCACCTTTAATTTAAATAGTGCTGATTGCTAAGAAATTCCAACTCATTTCATTCACACATTCTTTGCACACAAACCATGAATGTGAACTTCTGCTCCAGCACTACTTGAGCACTTCTGGCAGGCCACCTAGTATTTCCAAGCCTTGGTTTCTTCATTTATAAAATGGAGAGAGCCTGATTGCATGACTTCACAGGGATACTAGAGACAAATTAAACTATGTGAAAACGTGTTTGGGAAGAGTACTGACATATGTTTACATGATCTCAAAATTCCCACATTTCACTGAAAAAATAACTGTGCTCAAAATGTTCAAATGTAGAATCTGAGGCTTATGGTTGTAATTGGCATTGCATACTTTAAACCAAACAACTGTTCAAGGACTTTTCTATCTAAAGTTCCTTCTAGGAAAGTAGAGTAAGATATCAAAACGTAGGTATATATTATAATATTTTCACAAGTGGAGCACACACTTTTACTACATCCCTCTTGAGGACAGGAGTAGTACCTTAGTCGTCATTTTAGCTAAGAAACTGGCACAGAGACTAGCTCTGTGATTAATGTTAGAATACATTTTCTAGGATACAAGTAAATGTTCATATGTGTGAGATGGAAAGATGTCTGGCCTTGGAATACAGAGCCTGCTCTCACACCTCAAATAGCTTGCATAAATCCCTCAAGTGACCTGAGCCTTCATTTCCCTTGAAAAGTCTACACTGTAAGTCCGTAATGCCACCTTTTATCTGATGTCAGACATCCACCCAGAATACTGTAAAACAGGCCTTTGAGTGACAAAATGAAAAAAAAAAAGTTTCTCACAAATGTTCTTTCACCACATATGCACTTTATCCATAGTAGAGGGCTATGGATTTTTATTTCATGTAATATTTATACCACACTTGCATATTTGGTTATGGAATATTTCCCATTGTTGGTTAACAGCAGTAAAATAGATCAGCTGTCAAAGGAAAGAGGTTCCTAAAGGTTCCTCTTCTTGATGCATGGAATAAAGCCAAACCTTCCCAAAAAGGTTGATCAGATTCAACCCAAAATCATACTATAGCTTAATGTCACTGGACACTTGACAAAAGTCATTCATTATGGTAGTCTCCATCTCTTATGCCAAAATTAGTCTCAATTTATGACTAATCTGACTCAATCTTTAATTTTAGCAAAACAGAATAAGTGCTCAAAAAATACTGCTATCCACTCTTAGCTTATTCATGAACCTACCTGGGAAGAAATGATAGAGCCTCCTTTCACAGTTCACTTTCCCTTACTCAAGTAATCACTAACTGCTCTTGTTTTTTACTACATAACATTAATAAAATCACAAAGGAAATGTCATCTAATTTTAACCAACACAAAAGTTAGCTTTTCAGTTATCAAAGAGGCATCTATACTAATAAAAGAGAAATATGTAAATTGACTGTCACTTTGCAATACCCACAGCCAATCAGAAGTGAGTATGCAAATTAACCCAACAAAGATGTTGGCAGCCCCACCCTCCAGCTGCTCAGTGCCTCCCTGTCACCTGTCAATCATCCTTGCAGCCTCTCTGTGGCCCAGGACCTGGCCTAAGAGGCAACCCTCTGGTGCCTGAGGTAATAGCTCCCATTGTCTATCATCTCCCTCTATCCCATCCCTGCCCCACTATCACCCTTTGCTCTGGTGAACAAAGCCCTAGCGTTGGAGCAGTACCAAGGGCGTGGACACGTCCAGGAGCTTGCTGGGTGCACAGTTTGTATGCCCTGGGAACCCCGGGCCAGCCAAGGGGTGATAGTGGTGGCCTTGGCAGCAGCAGCAGGCGGCTCAGCTTTGTTTTGTAGGTGAAAAAGGCCACCTACACAGTAACCCAAATTATCAGATTTCCCTCCTCCCTATCTCACCAAATCAAGAGGGCAGGGGCAATGGGCTTGGAGGGAGGGGCAGGAGGTAGAGGGTGGAGGAGGAAGAGGATGAGGAAGGGGCCAGTTGCATCCCACTTTCACAATGGGAAAGTGAAAGCACTAGTGCACCCAACCTCTCCAGTCCTCCCCACATGCCTCGCTCCCTCCACCTCTTCCCCTCTTCATCTCCCAGGGAGCAGGGAGCACCAGCGCTGCACAGAGGAAGTCTCTGGAGAAGGAGGGCAAGGAGAAGTGGCACCAGAGCTAGCAGGGCTTGCCACTGCTGCACAGGCTGCCGGAGCAAGCCGGCCACATGCCCGCGGCCAGGGGAAGGAAGACCTATTCTTGCACAGATCTTCATGCATTGGGCTTCTAGTTACTTCATATAATTTCCCCCAAGGATGCCATTATACTTTCAGGTACAGTGATCTATTCGCCAACTATCGGTATCAGCTCTTTCAAAGAAGTGAACACATCTCCCAATTCTGATCCTTTGAGCATACGAAGAGAATACTGTAGTCACCAGAATACTTAACAAATATTTCTGAGGTTGGTTTTAAAGGAATTTTATATATCGATAATGGAAACTCAAATGCTTATAGTTGAACCTTGAACAATATGGGGGGAGGGGGCCTAAGGAGGGTTAGGGGACTGACCCCCACCCATTACACCGAAAAAAAATACACATATAACTTTTGACTCCCCCAAAACTTAACTACTAAAAGCTTACTTTTGACCAGAAGCCTTACCAATAACAGTCAATTAACACATATTTTGTATGTTATATGCATTATATATTGTATTCTTACAATAAAGAAAATAAAATGTTAAGAAATTCATAAGAAAGAGAAAATGAATTTACAGTATTTATTGAAAAAAATCTGCATATAAGTAGATCCACACAATTCAAACCCATGTTGCTCAAGAGTCAACTATAATTCTTTTGGAATGTTAAATACACCAAGAATCTTAAGCAAATTTTGATATGTTCACTAGATGTAATGTATAATGAAAACTAATTTATGATGTAATGTTAAATGTAAAATATCTGAATAAAAATTACATATAAAATGTTATAAAATATACAAAATATGTTTTATGCAAATATATCTATTTATTATATAAATCATATATATTAAGTATATATTATAAATCCATAACTTTACATATTTACATAAATGTTATTTTATATATTTAAATATATATAAACTTTTAAAGTTTTATATATAAAATATAAAAATACATTTTAAAATTATATTGAAAATAAAAAATGAATAAAATATGTGCATTAAATAAATTAAAAAAAGAAAATATTAGGTTAAAAATTATAAATGAAATGTAATTACAATTTTTTAAAAAAAATCTATGCAATGTGGAAAAGTCTGGAAGGAAATGCACTGAACAGTATTTGTGTTTAGGTGATGAGACCATGGGTGATATTTTTCTTCACATGCTAAATCTTACTTATGGAGTATGCACTACTTCTATAGAACTATTTTTTTTTAAAGAAAGGAAATAGGAAGGAGCACTGCTTAGAGGTAAAAAAAAAAAAAAAAAGGAATAATTAGAGCAGTTAGTTATCATTTAGTAAATGCTATCCTTAAACTTTACTTTCTTAAGGAACTCTTTAAGTGGTCATAAATGATGTTATAGAATATTTGTGCTTGAGGGACATGCTGCCTAATTCTGTCATTTGACAGGTTCAGAAAAAAAAACAACACTGTAGTTGTAGATGCTTTCCAGTTTACAAAACGCTCAACATATCACATCGCCTGTTCTTCAATCCTGGGAGATAGGTTCAGGTGCCCTGTTTTAAAGATCAGGAAACTGAGGGCTGGAGAAAGAAAGAACCTGCTTTTGATAACATCTTGCCATTTATCCATGCTTACTATGTTGGGTTAAGCACAACAATCTGGCAAAAATTATCACCATTTTACAGAGAAGAAACTGAAGGGAAGAGGTTCATTGTGCTCACTCTCTTGCAGCTGAGAACACTGCCCCGACTTGAGGCCACCCATTGAAAACAGGTGTCTTGAGTTACAATCAACTTCCCAGAGGCCTTTGGGGGAAGAGTTGAGCCTATGCCCCCGTGCGATGCCCTCTCTACTGCACTGGTCTCCTCGCCTGCGGTCCCTTTTAAGAGTTAAGCAGCTTGCTAGCCAGAGGCAAAGGTGTAAGGCCCAGCAATACCCCAAAACTAAGGTCGGCGAGCAGCCTGAGCCTCAGGAGGAAAGCGAGGCAGTCACTACAGAGTAGGGGTTGGAGGGGGGCGCAAGGCTAACCAATCTTATGGTCCTTAAGGAGTAGCCAAGGGGAAGCTCCCGTAGGAGCCGGGAGAGCAACAAAAATCCCAATTCTCGCCCTTCCACTGTTTGTAACTCGATAGGATCCCCCACATCCCCGTGGGCTGGGCAGGGATTTGTCCCACTTGGCCGGAAAAAGCGGGAAGAAACGCAATAGCGGGCCGGGCAGGCCCAAGAGTGCGTGAGGCGTGAAGGGGCAGACACCTAGGGGGGCTGGGCACACGGAAAAGGTCTAAGGGGCCTCGGGCCGGCGCGGAATGGAGGAGCCCCAGACCGCGGCGGGGACCAAGGCCGAAGGGAGGCCGCGTGCTGGCTGCCCGCCGGGACTCGGAGAGCTTCGAGGTCGGCCCGGGAGCCTCGCTACTCACGTTGGACCAGCCGGTCTCCAGAGAAGGTGGAGGAGCAGCTCGTGACAAGCGCACAAGGAACACCCGCAGCCATAACTGCACTCGGGAGCTCGGGGTGTCCCGGAGCCGCTTCCGCCTTGGGCTGTACCACCGCCGCCGGCGCGCGGGGGGGGACGCGGCTGGGAGGACGCGTTCTCGCATTGGCCCGGCTGCCCTGACTCCGCCCACTCCCCCTCTCCGCTTCCGGAATGGGACAGACCGGGCCGAGCGTGCTGTTGCCACGGGAACGAGATCCTTCCACCGATGTTTCCTGGCTCCCCATCCCTCCCCGGCCCTAGCAATGGCTCGGGAGACTGAAAACCGAGACCCCATCGGAACCATCTTAATCCAGGTGGGATCTGGGCCCCTCCTGGCCCGGCCCGGCCCAGCTGACACCCTGCCCAGCGAGCCTGGCAGCGCAGATCCACTCGCACACACCCCCTGGGAGCGCTGCCCCCAGATTGCCTCCGGAGATCTCCCAAATTCGCCAACCCAGACCTCGCTCAAAGCCAAGTTCACCTCTGGGTGTCTCTGGTCAAAACTCCCAAGGCTGCGCACCGCTCCCGGAACCTTTACTTCGGTGAAATACACCTCACCCTGAGGCACCATTTAAAAATGTATTCTGAGAAATTTGAATCAATGATGTAGGGGATTTGGGACGATACAAATCAAACACATTTCAGGAGTAATAAGAAATTTGGGGGAGAAGTTGAAATATGTAAACTGCTTTTCTTAAGCACCTAGATTTGGGGGAACCTAAAAGTCCCTTGCAAATAAGTAAGTCCTGAGGATATAATATATATAACCTGGTAGCTATAGTAAATAATATTGTATTGTAATATTTGAAAGTGGCTAAGAGAGTAAATCTTAAAAGTTCTCATCACAAGAAAAAAATTTTAACTGTCTGCTGATGAATGGGACCAATTGTGATCATTTTACAATATATATATACAAATATCAGATCTTTATGGTGCAAACCTGAAATTAATATAATGTTATATGTTGATTATATCCTAATAAAATAAAAGTCCCCTTGCTTAGGGATGCACACATAGAAAAATGTATTTAAAATAACAGCAAATTTGTTAAAGTTTTTAATATAAAATGTGACAAGTTTAAAAACTCAGGGGGTAATTATTTCTGAAGGTAAATATCAAGAAAGTCTTAGTTTCTCCTATATAACTCAGTTTGTGATACCTCAGATTTTTCTGAACAGGTAAAAGAACATTTACACATTATAGTTTTAAAATGTTTTCCACATATATCATCTCTTTTAACGCTTATATTTAGTTCCATTTGACTAACTTTAGTAACTTTCCTAAAGTCACTATTAGAACTCTCATTCAGATCTGCAATGGGTCTAATTTTTCTTCCTGCCAGGATTTTTATCTCTTAGTTCATATCTAAAACAAACAAACAAACAAAAAAACAAAACACACACCTCTGTAAACTCATCTTTCCAAAATACAGACCCCCTAAACTGTTTCATAGACGTCTCCATTACAAATCATACCCAAATCTTCTTACCTCACCTTTTATTACACTCTTATACATCACCTAGAATGAGTTTAGCCAACTGTAAAGTCTGTGGGAATGGTCTCCTCAAGACTGCCCTCACTTCTACATCAGCCTCAAGCTCAGGAGTCACCAGAACTATCCTCACTTCAGACCAGCTGTCTATAATTTGGGAGGCCTGACCACACTCATATTGGCTAATTTGCTAGAATAATTCACAGGTGCCAGGTTTGCAATTACAGTGGTATTATAGGGAAAAGATATAACCAAAAATCAGCCAAGGGAAGAGGTGTCTAGGGCAGAGTCCAAGAGGAGTCCCCAGAGAGTGTCCAGTCATCCTCTCTCTATGGAATCAAGGATAGCATTACCTTCTCCGGGCCACAGTGTTTGACAATGTGCAGAGTATTGTCACCTAGGGAAGCTTACCGGGGACTTTGGTACCTAGAGTTTTTATTGGATGTCAGTCTTACACTGTCCTACACGATGGACCTTTCAGCTCCAGCCCTTCCCAGAGATCAGACTAATGCTTTTAGTCTTCAGTCCCTCATGTTTGGAACTGATACAGTGTGGTTCAAAGCCCCATCATAGACCCATTGTTAGACTGTCAGGTGGCCAAACCCTCCGAAGCAAAGACACTCCTATCAAGCAGGAAACAGACCATCTCCCAATGTCTAAGGGCAAAGGTCAGATTTTTCTTTAGGTGAAGTTACTTATTCACTACACATACCCCCTTCCAAATCCAGAGCCCATTTTTACAGACTCCCGACAATTAGAACACGAATGGAGACTCTTACTTAGAAAAAGCCAGTTCTTCCCCACAGTATACTTCCTTTGACTACAGAAGCCGGTAAGTTTCTCTATAGTTCCCCCTCTTTCTCCAGACCTGAGACAACTCTTAAAAAAAGAGCCCAGGATCCAGGAAGAGTTCTCATGCCTGATTTCACACTTTTCCTTAAAATAATTCTACTTCCTAGGGGTGGCCCCCATTGTGGTTTGGAAAGAGTGTAGGAAAAGGTACTGACTGAAAAGCCAGAAGTCTTTTCATTTCTGAGTGAGATCCAGATGTGGCTGTTTGATCAGTCCAGGATACAACATTACAGTTTCTATGTCCGTTGTCATCAGATTGTAAAATGGAACAAGAGTTAAGAACAGTCATATCCATGCTGATCAGCACCTCCATCTGAATAAAGGGGTTATTCGGGACACTATGTAGAGATTGTGTAGAGAAATAGCCTACATTTTAACCTGTTTATTGAGGCTGATCTTTAGACACATACAATTCTCCTGGTAATGTATAGCATACATACAATGAGGAAAATGTGGAAGACCTTTCCTATGTTCCCACTGAGTCCTGAGTATTTGTGAGCATACAGCACCAGTCTCAGACATGCAACATGGATTTCATTTCTGCCTGGGGCTGTGGTTTCCTTCCTTCAGACAGACTGCCAATAAACAGTGCTGGAAAGAACACTTGGTTGGGAGGCAGAATCCTAAGGTCTGATATAGGCATGACATTCTTCCCGGTGGGCAACTTTGGGCTAGTCACTTCACTTCTCTCCTATAATACATAGCTTAGAGTAGATATACCTCTAAATAAATTGACTCAATTTCCCCAGCTACATAATTTCTTTTTCTTGTAAAATCCACTTCCTTTACCATTAGTCAATCAAATCATACACTCACACACACACACACAGACACACACACACACACACACACGTACAGGGGTGGGCAAAAGTAGGTTTATAGTTGTGAGTACACAAAACAGTTTACTCTTGTATTATTTATTAATTCTTTTATTATTAACTTACTTTTGCCCACTTCTAAATGTAATATAGTTATGTATATGTTATGTATTATATGATATATACATATTATATATGTGGTATATATACCAGAAACACAGAGTTACTTCAGATCTCCACTTGTGGTATATTTGATCTGTGTTTCAATCGGATACATTAAGCAACTCTTTGGACCAGTGGTTCTTAAAATGTGATCCCAGGACCAAGATTATCATCACCAGCTGGGAACTTATGAGAAATGCATATTTTTCAGAACCCTTTCCAGATCTACTAAATCAGAAGCACTGGGGTTGAGCCTAGTGATCTGTTTTGTTTGCTTTTTGTTTATACCCACCCAAGGGTATTTTTTTCCATTGATTTTTTTTTTTTTTTTTTTTTTTTTTTTTTTTTAGAGAGAGTGAGAGTGGAATGGAAGGAAGGAGGGAGACAAAGTGTGAGAGAGAAACATTGATGTGAGAAAGACACATTGATTAGTTGCCTCCCACATGCACTCCAAACAGGGACTGGAGAGGAGCTGCAACTCAGGTACTGCCCTTGACTAGGGATCAAACCAGTGACCATTGGTGCTCAGGCCAGTGCTCTAACCACTGAACACACCAGCCAGAGTGTGATCTGTGTTTTACAAGCCTTTCAGACAACTCTGATACATGTTCAAGGTTGAGAACTGCTATTTAGATCATATTGCAAACATAAACTTTAATACTATTTTTAAGAAAAATCACAATAATCAAAGCTAACATAGTATTTGCCAGATATATCATGCATGATGCTAAGTGCTATATAAGTTTTAACTTATTTAACCTGTCCAACAAAACTACCAGATAATTATTGTGATTATTTCACAATATAGAATGGAAACAAAGATGAGTATAGTAGGTTGACTCATATACATAGAAAATGCAAGCAATCTTCTCAAGCCTTTTCAATCCAACCCTCACTTAAAAAGAGAGTCTTCCCTTGGCCCTTTTTTGCTCCTCTAGATATTTAAACCCTGCCCTTTTTACTGAATTTTCACCAACCTCTAGTTTTATATATTTAAAACATATATTTGCATATTGGTAGATATTCTACATGCACTGGCTAATGGTTAGGTGTGAAGGCTCTGTGAATGGAGCTGGACTAACATTGACTACTAGAGGCCCAGTGCACGAATTCATGCACCAGTGGGGTCCCTTGGCCTTTCCTGCAGGATCAGGCCGAAACCGGCTCTCCAACATCTCCCCCGAGGGGTCCCAGATTGTAAGAAAGTACAGGCCAGGCTGACAGATCCCACAGTGCACAATTGGGGCTGGGAAGGGATGCACAATAGGGCCCCAGGGTGTGTTTGGTCCATTTCACTCAGTCCCAATCGGCTGGACCCCAGCAGCAAGCTAACCTACCAGTCAGAATGTCTGCCTCCTGGTGGCCAGTGAATGTCACAGTGAGCAGTTGAGCAGCCTTAGCATATTATGCTTTAATTGATTGAATGAATGATTGGACAACCAGACACTTAGCATATTAGGCTTTTATTATACTAGTATACTAGAGACTCAATGCACAAAATTCATGCAAGAGTAGGCCTTCCTTCCCCCAGCTGCTGGCACCAGCTTCCCTCTGTACCTGAGACCCAGGCTTCACTCCTGCCCCGGCTTTGTCCAGAAGGATGTCCAGAGTAATGTCCAGTCTAATTAGCATATTACCCTTTTATTAGTATAGACTAGAGGCCTAGTGTACAACATTCATGCATTGGGGTAGAGGGTCTCTCAGCCTGGCCTGCGCCCTCTCGCAGTCTGGACCCTTCAGGGATCGGGCCTAAGCCAGCAGTCAGACATCCCTCTCACATACCAGGGCTCTCACAGTCTGGGACCCCTGCAGCAGAGATGGGAGAGGCTCCCACCACCACTGCTGTGCTCACCAGCTGTGAGCCTGGCTTCTGGCCGAGCAGTGCTCCCCCTGTGGGAACGCACTGATCACCAGGGGGTAGCTCCTGTGTTGAGCATCTGCCTTCAGGTGATCAATGTGGGTCATAGCAACTGGTCATTCCGCCATTTGGTCAATTGCATATTGGCCTTTTATTGTATAGGAGGACTATTTAGACTGGGTTCAGACTGCCTAGATTTGAACTTCTCCACCAGTTAACCAGCTGTGTTACCTTGCACAGGTTACTTAACCACTTTAAACTTCAATTCCCTTAAATATACAATGAAAATAACAATGTGAACTTCCTCTTAGGCGTCTTGAAGAATTAAAATATAGGATAACATAAAGTACAACACTCAATAGATGACACTTATTTGATTAGGTCTCTTATCATTTAATATTAGTTTTGTGTACATTTCTGAGTCTTTTTAAAATTAACTTATGCTTTAAATTTCTGGAAAAAGAAGAAAAGTTAATTTTAGCCTGTCTTTTTAACTAGGACTAATTCATTCTTAACGAGAACTTTAAGGGCATTGCAATTTGGCAAACAAGGTATGCCTTATTTCCCTGTTACAACCCATTTTTGGGATATCAAATTTTACCTAATACAGGATTGGTCCATCAATCATGGATGACGGGATAATAATCTACTCATTAATTCAGTCTCCAATAATTTATGTTCTGTTCAAAAGTGAATGGAACTGGACTAACATTGATTATTATTTAGAAAACATAATAATTGGTATAAATTTATAGTAAAAGTAATATTTTGATAAAATATCTAACATATGTACTTAAGAGAAGATCTTTAAATACAATGAATAATACCCTAATTATAAACTCCATGTGACTTATTATGTGAACATGTGCTGAGATGTTTAGATTTTCCAGCACAGTCCTGATCATGAATATTCCATCCCATTGTCAGATCATATATTAAAGTCCATGTTTTCTTTTTTGGTTCAGAATATTGATTATTATTTCCACGTAGAGCTCTATTAGAAAGCATTTTGTTAACTAAATTCACTTCAAAATGCTTATTTTAACTAAATTTTTTCACTTTTAAGTCTTAATGGAGTTTACAATTTTAGCTGAATATTTCCTCAACTAATTAGAATAGTGAGATTTTTATCATAGCAATAACAATCATCATTACAATTAAAATAACAGCCAACATTTATTTGGAACTAGACACTGGGCTAAGAGCTTTAGATTTTCTGAAGTCCCAACAATAACTCTGTTAGGAAGGTGTTATTTTTATCCCAAATTACAGTAGAAGAAACTAATGTGCAATGAGATAAAGCAACTTGACCAAGCAATAAATCTTAAGCAGGGGATGGCATGTTTGTGAAGCCATCTTGGAAAAGTGTGGTGGTGACTCTGGGAAGTTTCCTAGATGCTTTCTTTCATTAGTAACTCCTAGAAACTCTCCTTGTATGCTTTATTAACAGTAATGTGGCACCTTTTAAATACCTTAATAAATGCTCGCTCGGCCCAAATATTAAACATATGTTTGTGCAACAAGGATTACCTAGTCTTGCTATCTAAATTACCTTTTTAGTTAGTTTTGGAAATTGTTTTGTTTTTTTTTTAACATTTTTATTGATTTCAGATGATAGAGAAACATCAATGATGAGAGAGAATCATTGATGGGCTGCCTTATATTGGGAATTGAGCCCACAACCCAGGCATGTGCCCTAACTGGGAATTGAACCATGACCTGGTTAATAGGTCGACATTCAACCACTGAGCCACACCGGCCAGGCTAGAAATTATATTTCTACAGTGCAACAGTTGTGTGTTAACACCAACCTTAGAAACATTGGAGCTAATTAACCTTGATGTTATCTCTGTCTTTCTTACCAATCCTGCTGCCTGGTTTGTCAGAAGCGTACAACATAAATGTGATGAGAATGACTCCACCTATCTTTAGCAGAGATGAGTAAAATGGTAATTATGAGATTGCTTTTGACAATGTGGAGTCTGGCTGGATGGTTTTTTAAATTCTAGAGCAAATATTTACTGCATTAAATATTTCAAGCCCTTCTTATTAAGCAGCCCTATCCCCAAACTGTGAAAATAATAATTTCCTCCAACTAGATTTCAAAATGTATGGAAAGATGGGAGCTATCTATAATACAACCAACAACAAAAAGTACATTAAAATAAATAAATAAATAAAAATGTATGGAAAACAATGGGTCCTGATGATGACAGAGATGATGGGTGACATGTAAAATTTCAATATGGTAGATTGGATCTATTTGAAGAAAGAACAGAGTTTTGCTAGTAGAACTTAATCCCTTTTCCTACCCAAGTGTGGTGAAAGATTTTCTACAGTACTTGTCTCCAAAGCAATTATACAGATGTGCAGTTATTAAGAAGGGAGAAGAAACTATCTGGCAAGAAAGGTAAAATGAAAGCTCTTGAGAAAGATTAGGAGAGCAATTCAAATCAGCAAACATTTACTAGGTGCCAGTTGTGTGCAAGGAGTTTCATAGGTTTCACAGGAGAGGAGAAGGAGCATTTGTTCAGTGCTCTACTCTGCGGCTGGCCCTATACAAAGCCCTGACACACTTTAACTCAATTTATTCTGAGAGGTAGCTATTTACCTCCATTTTATACATGAGAACACTAAGGCTAGGTGAATTTGCCAAGCTCAGTTTAGTAAAGGCGGAAGAAGATCTAGTTTACGTCTGTCTGGTTACAAAGCCCATATTGGCTCATTGTCACACACATTGCTTCATTTTCACTCAACAATTCTGTGAAGTAGAAGCATTCTTTTTTCTTTTTTTTCTTGGTGAAAAAACTAGAGAATATGTGGATGATGTATATGGACATAGTGTGTGATCAGTGAGAGAACAAGGAATTACATTCATCTGCCTTTTATTGATTCTTACTGTGTACCAGACTATCCATGTCTCATGACTCTATGAAGAGTAATTGTCCACACGCAGATGAAGAAATCAGACCTTTGGTTTCCTGTTAGTAATCCAGGGCAGTTTTCACTCTCTCCAGCACTCGCCAGCCATAATTACAGAATGAGCCATGAAGGCACACATAATAGAGCTACAAGAAGGAAATTCAGGTACTCACAGGGGTCTGGAAATGGGGTTTGCCCTTGAACCACTGCTTGGTACTTTCCAAATGTCTTAGGCAATAGGTGGCAAATCAGCTTGCAGCAATAATTTGGACAAAACAAGTGAAAGGAGTACATCTTCATCCTCAGGGCCTACAAGCAAGCAGTAGGTGTGTTTATAACCCAATCTGAGAGCCCTGAAGGCTTTACATGACAATTGTGCAGAGTACAAAATGACCAGCTGTGATGCTCATCAGTGAAAAGACTGCAAATTCTGATCTTTTGAATATTTGGCTCAGTGGGAATATTCTAGAGTAATCGGTAACATAGGCTAGATCAATGAGTAAGTCCAGTTAGATTAACAGAGAAAGGTAACTGTTTCAAAATGCCTTTAGCAACCCAGTCTGCAGATTGTTATTGGTGTGACTATTGGTGAAACAGGTGTTGGGCTCATAAATTTGCATAGCAAAATGTTTTTCTTGTGGCAGCAGCCCATGTAATAATTGGTGCCATCTGTATTTATCTGTTGAAGTTTGATTTCTAATATGAATTCAGAGACTGGTGTGCTAATTTTATAACACCCATTTTATTCCAAGGGTGCTTGACATTGGAGAGAGATTCATCATTTCAAAGGAAAATAAAAATTGAAGGAAAATGTTAAAGTAATAACAGATGTAGCTTTTGCCTCATGGATAATTTTCATTTCTGACTACATAAAACGAAGTCAAGGCCACACACCTGCCCTACAGAACTGGTTCTTCAGAATAGTTTCCCAGCTAGACAGGAAAGCCAATAGGCCCTGTCAACATATTTGCAATTAATTCTCTTTTGAAAGACACAGCTCTCACTAGAAGTGGGGATCAAACCCACAGCCCAGGTATGTTCGCTGACTGAGAATCAAACCAGCAACCTTTCAGTGCACAAGATGATGCTTAACCAACTGAGCCACAAAATGTTCTGTTTTCTTACATTTTAACCAATTAGTAGAAATCAGAGTTTGGCATAAACTTTTTATAGTCCCTGATTCAACTGCTTTACCATCTGAAAAACCACTTGTGTTGCAGATTTAGTTTGGATTTGTTTCTAATGGGGAAAGGAAAAACAGATAATTGTATAAAAACTTAGGTTTTCAAAATCTAAACAATAATGGAATATTCTTTAAAAAAAACTGTCTTAAAACCATAAGACAGTCCTTTTCAATGAACACTGTAAAATCATCCTTACTGTCTCTAACAACTCCAGCAAATTGTAAACCTTTAAATAAATGTTTTAGATAGATTATGTATGTATTCTTTTACTATTTCATATTTTTACACCAACAGGTCCATGATGACCTTCAGCAATTAAAGGAGAAATTAGAAAACTTCCCACCTGAAGGAGAAGAGACTCTAAACATTCAGAATCTTAAAACAGCAATCAAAAGGACGGAAATGGGGTTAAGAGTAAGTAGGACTTTAGATATTAAATAAAATACCAGAGACAAAGATGCCTCAAGAAAAGAATTGTGGCTCTCGTAACAGAGGGAGGCTTATGGCCATCCTCAGCTTGTTTTAATCCTCTTTTTAAATGGTAATGCTAATTAACTGATTGATTCACATCCTGTCACATCCCACAAAGAATTTAAGAAATTGATCATGTCAGATTATGCTATGATAACTTCTAAAATGTGGTTTGATAAAAAGAATTTTTAAAATAATCACTATCAGTCCAACAATATGGATGACCAAAAGGGATTCATGCCAAGACATCAGAGAGTTTCTGTCAGATTCAGGATTCTAGAGAAATAAGAGTTGACTTTCCCCTATTAACTTTCCCCTAAGTATTTTGAGAAAAATCATTTTTAAAAATATAGTAACCTAGTGGGTAAAAAACAAAGAAATATACCAGTTTTGAAACAGAAATAAAGTATATCAGGACTTCATTATTATAGACCAGTGATCTTCAATCTTTTTCATCTCGTGGCCCACACATAAACTAATTACTAAATTTCTATAGCACACCAAAAGTATTTTTCCCCAATCTGACACAAAAAGGTATCATTTTTATTCATTCACACAGAATGACTATTGTGTTGACTGTTGTTATTTTTAAATTTGACAAGCTCAAGGAAAAGAGGTCAGTGACCTTGACTAAATAGTCAGATAGTACATGTTTTAAAAGTTATTGCTACACACAGGTTGACAATCACTTTACATCCTCACATTCACTGCGGTATTATTTACAATAGCCAAAACATGGTACCAACCTAAGTATTTATTGATGGATGAATGGATAAAGAGAAATATATACATACATACATACATACAGTGGAATAGTATTCAGCTATAAAAAAGAAATCTTTCCATTTGAGACAACTTGGATAGATGTCAAAGACATTATGCTAAGTGAAATAAGCCAGACCCTCCCCCTGCCCCCCCCCAAATTAAAACTACTGTAATCTGTATAATCTTACTTATATGTGGACTCTAAGACTCTATCCTACCCCCACCCCCCCCCCCCAAAAAAAAAAAACTGATTCAGAAAACAGATTGCTGGTTGCTAGAAGTGAGGTTGGGTGAAATGGGTAAAGGTGGTCAAAAGTACAAATTCCAGTTATAAAAAAAAATAAGTTCTGGGGATGTAATGTACAAGATGACTATAGTTAAAAATACTGTACTGTATATGTGAAACTTACTAAGAGATTACATCTTAAAAGATCTTAAAAGAAAAATATTTGCAACTAGACTTATTGTGGGGATCATTTCACAATATATACAAATATCGAATCATCATGTTACACACCTGAAACTAAATAAGGTTACATTTCAATTTCTTTAAAACTAAAAAACAAAATAAAGCACAGCAAGGATGTAGTACCATCTCCACATTCTAGATCTCTGTCAGTGTTGCAGAGATCCCGAACAATCATACAATGCAGGAGTTTGGAGAGATTCACTTTATTCACCGTGTGGTGGGCTTAGAGAAAATGATTTCAAATTCTAAGCAAAGGTACAAGCAGAGCTTTCCTTTTTATTAAGGAGCCAGCTCTCTGTGCAATTAGTGGTTATCTCGCTGCTATCTTTGAAAACAAACACAGCTAAATTTATAGACATGCCTAGTCTTGACCTGCAAGGTCAGACAGCTAATTTTATGATCCTCATTTTACAAGCAGGCTAAAGCAGACTAGAAAGCAAACATTTTTTAGAATAAGAGGCCATCTAAGAAAAACTGCAGAAAATTCCAAATAGCAGGGGGTTTTTTTGTTTTTGTTTTTTTACAAAATAGGGATTTTCCTTCTCATCAGTACCCTTGCTCTCGCCTCAGACTTTCATGCTACCATATTCTGAGCTTCGTCTCTCAGCACCTGAGGCTGTGAACTGTGCGCTTGATGTGGTAGCCTCGGCAGACTAGCGCACCACTGTCCTATTTCCCTGATGGTGAGAGGGCTGGACCCAGCTGGAGTCTTTGGGTTGGCCATTCTCAATAATGTTACCTGAAGGCCAAATTCTTTCCCCGGTGCTTGCCTGACATCCTGGAAGAAAAAGACATTACTCCATATCTGTATGGCCTAGAAAACGTACCTGCTAAGCAATTTACTGACTATTGTGCACAGTGTCATTTGTGAAGAGTGCTGCAGGTCACTCAAGCTTTGAGTCTCAGTTGTTTATTATGCTTTTTGGGATAAAGTAATTTGGCCTTGAGATACCTAATTATACCTTAGGCATTAATAAATACACAGCATGTTGTGTCTTTTGGCTTAATTACACAATTCAGTGTGTTAACCTAATGAAATGAAGTAAATTAACTGAGTATCTTAAGTCCACTATAATGGCCTAAACTTTAACTTTTCTGTAACAGATTCACATTGAGAAGTATTTAAATGTTGTAAACAGTCAAGTGTTTTCGACTTCCATTAGTGAGAATAAGTTATTTTCTCCCCACAATACCGACTGGTAAGTAAAACAGACATTTATGAATCCAAATAAGTACCAAAAATAACTTTTCTCACTCAGGTGACACGACTGTAAAGACAAAATTTTATTGGCTTTTTTGGTATCCTAATTTCAGTATAAGTTTTGCACAAAAAGTTAAGGGAAAAGACCATGTTTTGCAAATATTGTATAAAGGATGTTTATTATATGAAAAAAGTTAATGGCACAATTTGGACTTTAATACAATTTATTCTGGGTTACTTTTATTGAGTTCTTATGCCTGACACCATATCAGTGATTTTAGGGTCATATTTTGGTGTAATTAATTTTTTTTATGTTTTTAGTAAAAATGTGCTCAAAATTTAATTCCTGAAGGAAAATGTGTTTGTTTTTTGTTACTCCTCTCCCAAGGATATGGAGTGGAAAGGAGGGAGGGAGGGAGAGAGGGAGACAGAGAAACATCAGTGTGAGAGAGACACATCAATTGGTTGCCAGGCTGGAGAATGCACCTGCAACTCGGTAGCACACTTGACTGGGAATTGAACCCGAGACCCTTCAGTGTGCAGGCCAATGCTCTACCACTGAGCCACATGGGCTAGGGCCAAAGGAAATATTTTAATGCAAATCAGTTTTTATGCTATCTGGTCTTTTCTTTACAGTTTTTAGCTTATGTACTTTATTGTAAAGATGATTATGGTGTCTGGGGTAAAAAATAAAAATAAAGCTTGCTTGAAATATTCATTATGTAAATGCATCCTAAGAGATGATTTATTAAAATTAGAATTGAGTTAAAGAGAAATGACCTTGCCTCATCTTGGACCTCCTTATACGTCTGCCTTCTCAATTTCTTCATAAATTAAGGTTTTGTACTTAGCTTAAAGCTCTGTGGCCCATATTTGCATGGTAAATATACTCAGTAAGTCATCAGTTAAGGTCTATAGGCTCTTAGAAACTGTGACTTTAAGTAAAACATGTACAATGAAACCAATATTACCATTGACATAAAGAAGAGTTAAGTTCCTATAGCATATTTCTGGTCACAAAAAACATCACCAAACTTCTAAATAAAGACCCAAATACTTCTAATACTGAACAGAAATAAATGAGCTATACACATATTTAAGGATCATTAATAAAAATGAGTAAAGTGATTATTGCATTTGTTCATTCCAGTTCAAGGGCCAGAGTCTATCTGGGCAACTCGGAGATCCAGGCAGGACCCACTTTGGACAGGACCTCCTTCCATCACAGGGCCATTCACACTCACACTCACTCAGACTGGGGCATTTTAGAAATGCCAGTTCACCTAACATGCACATGTTTAGAATGTTGGAGGAAACTGAGGCCCTGGAGGAAACTGATACAGACATGGAGAATGTGCAAATTCCACAGTGGCCCTGGCTGGGAATCAATTTTTTCTTCTTATTATCAACATTACTAGAGGCTCGGTGCACGAAATTTGTGCACTTGTGTGAGGGGAGGGGACATCCCTCAGCTTGGCTTGTGCCCTCTTGCAGTCCAGGAGCCCTGGGGGGATGTCCGGCTGATGGCTTAGTGATCAGGCAGACATTCTTAGCTTTGCCATGGAGGTGGGAGAGGCTCCCACCACTGTCCCTGTGCTCACCTGCTGTGAGCTCAGTTTCTGGCTCCTTCATTGAGTGTCTGCCTCCTGGTGGTTAGTGCACATTATAGTGACTGGTCATTCCACCGTTCAGTCATTTGCATATTAGCCTTTTATAATATAGAATACGTTGTAAATGAGGCCCCCTAGAACCATAAGAAATGCAAAAAATTCACTGTTAACTCATTCTTGAATTGCTCCCACTTAAAATCAAATTGCCCCCCTGTGGGGCATATGCTGCACCTTGGGATCCACTGGGCTTGACACTTTTCCTCTCTGCGCTTCATTTCTGAATGCATTCCTAAACCATGGAAATTGTAATCTCTTCTCCGCCTACCTCACTGATTTGTCATGAGGAGGTTCTAAGCTAATAAACCTAGAAATGTTTCATCAAGTAAGTGATGTCTAAACGGAAGGGATTGTTATTTTTAAGCCCAGGGCACCTTGGCAGGTGGCAGGTGCTGATTAGGGGAGGAGGGCAGGATTGTCTCCTGGGACTGTAGCTATGGAAGCTTTGCAGAGGGTTCCGCAGGCCTCGGATGGGCGCCCTTTACTTCCTCCTCTGAGTCTCAGTGTGCTTTTCTCTTCCCTTCTAGTTATAGAATTTCCATTCAGCCAGCCTTCCTGTGGTTCTGGATGATGTCTGTTTTGTTTTTTAGTTGTAGTTTTGGAGTGTTTGTTGGAGGCAGCAATTTCATCTTGGTTTCTCAAAATACAAAATCTTTTAATACAAGGAAACCATACAGAAAATAATAAAAGGGATTCTTGGACAAGAAAATATTGGAGGTTACTTTACAAATTAATATGGATGTGAAGTTCAAAAAAACCAAGAGTACCCAACAGGCAAAATGGAAGGCTGGTTTAGAAACAGCCAGGGGATCTGTAGAAGTGAAGGAGTATGTGGACAAAGGATGAAGCATGCAAACAGCAAGTAGAAAACCTCCAAATGGAGGAGCTGGGGGGTGGGGAATAGGAGGAGGGTCTTCCCCAACTCCAATGAAAATTCTCCTTCCCGAGCTTTCCCTTTGTGCTCTCATGTTGGCAAAGAACAGAGAGCCCGGGCTATAGATTTGCAGGTTTTGATGGCTCAAAAGAACGAACTAGGCAGCAACTGCAGCAAACAGATTCTGGTGAGACATTTTCTTATACAGTTCTTTTCCCTAGTCAGTGGGTATCTTTGGCCTTTATTAGAAGGTCTCTGAATGAGTTAAGGAAGACGTTAATTGGGGCATGGAGCTGTCTCCCAGAAGTGGTCCATGGATCCTATCTTTCCTTTTTTAAAATATATTTTTATTGCTCTCAGAGAGGAAGGGAGAAGAGGAGACAGAGACATCAATGATGAAAGAGAATCACCAAGTCACCTGCCCCCTGCATGCCCACACTAGGGATTGAACCTATCAGCCAGGCATGTACCTTGCCTGGGAATTGAACCATGACCTTCTGGTTCATAGGTTGAGACTCAACCACTGAGCCATGCCAGCAGGGCAGATCTTATTTTTCCTATTTAATACAATAACGTATCAGTGGCCCTCCTATCAAGAAGATGGGAAGCCTGGCAAGTTTGTATGAGCCCCACAAGTCTGGAAGAGGTGGCAGGAGCATTTCAGTCATAGCTATGGGTGTGTGGTGCTGATGTGGTATGAATTTGAAAATATGATATAAAATGAGCCAAGGTCATAAACGAGAGTGAAATTCAAAGTAGATCTTCAAAGTAAACAGGCTTGAAGCAGGTCCTGGGAGTCCAAGGTCCTGAGGCACAGGGCGTGGCTCAGGGAGGAAGAAAAGCAGCAGTAGATGGAAATGGAAAACGGGAGACCTTGAAAGCTGACATGCTCCCAGGTAGACAGTTACACCTGGGCCTGTCTTTGCAGGGTTGCTCCAAGAGACTCTCATGAATAAATTTGGTTTAGAGTCTGCTGGGAGACTATGCAAAGTAGGTTACGGGACTCAGAATTCCTTCAAGTTCCCAAACCTTGGAGGTGTAAGACTGGCCAATTCACTGCATGTTTCTCCTGAGGTTCCATGACAGAGCCCTTAAAATACCCAAATGAAAAGGTATATCTTAATTACCAGTGGGATGACTTACTAAGGAACAGGTTGTTTAGTCTCAACATTGATCATGATATCAGAGGAGAGACTTAGCTTCATGCAAGTTTTAAACTGTGACAGATGTTAGATCTGGCCTTTTATCCCATGTGGCCATCAGAGAACTTGGGCATGTGCACATAATATGTGTATGTTGATTTATTTATAAATGGCATACTTATCATAAAGAGTGAATACATTATAAAATATATCTACATAAAAAATTCAACAAAAATAAAATAGTTGTTTTGCTTTATTACTAGAACAATATTTCTTTCTCTTGCTAAAAAAGGTTACTAATTATAAAGTCCTGATTATTTAATCTTGGTAGTCATGATGACTTTATCCTAACTGTAGCTAAATCCCAAAATTTGCTCTACACTTTGGTGAGATTCAGCATTGATGCTGGTTAGATATAAGTCCATATTTCAGTTACTCTTTCAAAAAATTTTTTAAGGTTTGGGGGGGACTGACTTTTCATAAGTTCAATGGGATTATCATTTTTACTTTTAAATGTAGTTGTGAAAAAACTCACGTTAGGAAAAAATGTGTCAGTTTTGCCATTTTCTTGTTTTTCACGATGCTTGTTATCATTACCACTAAAAATACAGTGGTTTTTTGTTTGTTTGTTTGTTTTTTGTAAGAAACTTTTAAAAACATTGGTCTTTTTTAAGGCTTAGTTTAGCTAAAATGAAATAATATGACCCATGAATGTACTGCATGAGTGAACCACACTCATGTGATTCTTAAACTGTGGTTTGCAATTCTCTTTCACTGGCTCCCAGATGGGGCCCTGGAGTCTACATTTCAACAAACACACTCCTTTTTCCTAATGTAGACAATGTGTGCATGGAATCCTGGGACAAGCATGACTCCCTAGAATCAATATTCTTTTAGCCACAGAGATGGCTTGCTCTGTCTGATGAAGAGCCTGGTCCTGGAAATTCTGCTACCCTGATGCTATGAAGGGTTGTGGTAAGCCTCTTGCATTGGGATTGAGCCAGGAGTGGGACTTGGCAGTCAGGCTGGTAGGACTGTCAATATCTGCTCAAACTGGGAGTATCAGAGGCCAAAGTTCAGGGCAGCAGCTCCTCCTGAGAGGAATGGCATATAATAAAGATGGCAGATCTCTGTTGCTCCTTTGACAGCAGAGCACACAGTTCCTATGAGTAAATGAGAATCAACATTGTTCAGATACTTGGGGCTTCGTTCTGTCTATGGAAGCCCAGGGAATCTGGAGAGTTCATTCCAAATGACTACTATCCCTGGATATATTTTCAACAACTTACAACCAACATAAAATAATTATCATCCT